TGCGTTTGTCGTTCAATATTGCAAATTTTGCTCTTTCTTTATTAAATTGTGTGCGTTCTCGGACGAGGTGACGCACACACAATCAATCACGTTTGTTCGATACAATCTTTAAATTGACTTCACAAACTTTCGTCCGTAAAAACGTGCAGCTGCGTCACATCCAGGAAAAGCGGAGCGTCTCGTCGTCCCCTATTGGCTATCTGGAGACGAAACGATCAGCGCCACGACTGAATCTCTCCGATCAAGACGATGATTAATGACCCTGTCGGCGCTTTTGTGCGTCACTGTGTGTGTTCTCGTGTTTTTGTTCTGCAATATAAGACAAAAGGAAATCCTCCATTCTGGGAGTATTTACTGCTTTGGATCTATTTGTGTGTGTTTTTAAATTCATTGTGTTTACTGTGAAATGTGATGACGGAGGGCTTTGAACGCATCACGTGCTTCACAGAAAACAGGTTTCATTTCCACACAGAATCCTAAAATCAAATCAAATCATCTTCTTTGGCTGTTTTTTTTATTTATACGCTGGAAGCCACCGTATGAATAAAATAAGTGATCACAGTTCAGCATTTCAGCGATGACTTTATAGATTCACGAAATTCTGCAATCGGCAGTAGCGTAAAGGTAACTTCAAGTCATTTTAAGACATGAAATGTCATGTTTCCATGATGGAAAACAACTTTTTAGGGGTTAAATAAATGAACATCAGCAATGATTCATAAACTGCTTTAAGCTACTTAGCGCAAAAAAAAAAAAAAACTAACGCCAGGAACAAGGAAGTAATTTGGCAAGTTTTGTCATGTTGGAGTCGGTTAAGTAACAACGGTGGCATACTAGTCTGAACTGTACGACATTTTAAAGACTTTTTACACATATTTGAGGATTTTAAAACCATCTCACAGTTATATCGACACATTATGAATAATTTTGGTCAGTTTCTGAACCATTTTTTAGTAACTTTGGACAAATTACGAATCATTTTTCATCTTTTTTTTTTTTCCATTTTGTGAAGGTTGAGCAGCAATTTGTAACAGTGGAGCTCATAAAACTCATAGGAATCATTTTCTGGACAGTTGAATGTCTAAATATAAATGACCGGGGAGGGACTTTACTCATGATTCATGAATTGCTTTAAGCTGCACGACTCAGCAGGAAAATGGAAAATATGAGTTTCAAACTGAGATCAGGACAAAAGCAGTAATTTGGTTCCCATAAGAGTACATTCTCTTACACATATCTGAGTCATTTTTGAGTTAGTTTAGACAAATTCTGTCATATTTTGAACAATTTTTGACTTATTTTTGACAAATTATTTAATTTTGAACCATTTAAAAAAAATCATTTTGGAGCTTTTTGTTCATTTTGTAAAGGTTTCTGACGCAGATATAAAATATAAGAAGATAGTAGAACAATATTCACTCATGGACCAGAGATGAGAACAAACTAAAAGGCTTTTTTTAATTTGCCAAACGCTAACAGGCCTCTCAGTCTCCTTTCTTTTATCTCCTTTTTCTTTTTTTTCTCTCCTTTCTCCATCTCAATTACTGGGCGGCAGCACACAGGCAGAGCTCCATCTCAGAGGCTGTTAATTAACGCTATTACCGCCTCGGCTGCTGTTATGAGACAGACACAGAGACAATGAGAGAGGAGAGGAGGAGGAGGAAACATTAAAACCATTATTCACCGCCCGGAAGATGAAACAGAACGACGGGAGAGGGGAGAGGAGAGGTTCTGGGTTGGACAAATAAACCGCTTGACGGATGCAAAAGTAGAAACTGACCCCATCGGATGTCATCAGGTTGAAAAGAAAACTGCTTCAGAGCAGAAACTCTACAAATGTTTTTGTCTGTATGTTGACCACCTGGTGAACTTTAACCGTCCAGCTACAAGCAAGAGAGTCTCCTGCAGTCAAAAGTAGCTCGTTGCAGCTTCACTGATTTACTGAGGAGCAACATTATACCACATATTCACAATCATGTTTCTTCCTGTCCTGAGTTCACCGAGGCTCTGCTCCAGACTG